TTTAGCGGAAGGAGGAGGCATTCAACACTTTCAAATTAAACTCAAAGTTTGGCATTAAACGACCAACAAGTTTGACTTATAGGGATACAGATATAAACATATGAAACTGTTTATTAATTAATTGTTATGAAACGAGTTATCTATTTAACACTGTAGCCTGAAATTACAAGAAGAAAATTGAATTTCCTGTTGGCAAAAAGGAAAATTTCGTCGGCCCTCAAGCGCACTGCCTGGAGGCGCGGAAAGAACGCTCGTGCCAGTCCTACTCATACATTACCGGGCCGGGAATGAAGAGCGAGGCGCTCGTTTCATCACCCAACCTTTATCAGCCCTGAATTAGACCGTGAGCGCGCGTTCTGTTCTATCAGTTTTCGCAACTCGTGAGCTCTTTTCAAGAAGGAGCAAGAACCTTGTCCAATCTGGAGTAATAATTCAAAGAAACTGAATGAATCACTCAAAGAAGAAGCTCCTTGCTCATTGCATATTATTATTTTAAGGAATCGGATACAGTGTAAAAACTACGGTTGGGCCTAACCGAACATCTCGCTTCTTAGGGGTTGTGGTTTTTACTTTACATAAAATAAGACTTTCTGACCACATATTAAATGCTATGAAAGTCTTTTACTTTAACTTTTAATGTAAATACTTTCGTATTTTAAGTCCTTTAAACCTGGCTATACAGCCCAGAACAGTGTATCGAGTGACTGAGCCATGCAGAGCGATTACTTAAGTCGACCTCGTAAACAGTATATTCTTACCTGCTATTCCTGGTAAAACCACACCATTTCCTTTTAAAAATATTGTTAGAAACAAGATTATAAAACTTGCTTTCACAGAACTTGCCATAACGAATCTCTGGCCGAAACTGTCACACTGCTCTCAACTTGCTGATTCGTTGCCTTATTTATCTAGTTACGTGCTTGTCAATCAATTTTCAGTTGACAAAGACGCTTAGCCTATTTGCACAGATTACGCAGTTGAAGCGTATTGTTCACATGTTAATTTTTTTGTACAATGAGTTATTGCCATAAAGGTTCGCGTGAGTATTGCTCAAATCAATAGTACTGGAGCTCATCAACCGCACGCCGTTTCAAACTGAAGATAATTACATCATATCAGTGTTATTAACTATGAATAAGTCATGGTAAGTTCTACAAAAGTAAAAATATACTTTCGTGAATCATTTTTGTAATTCGCTCCTTCTTTATTTGATGTAAATAATAGTTGATGAAAACAATAGTATTCGCACCGTTGAGTCACAACAAAAGTAAGAACTCATTTTTAAGTACCGTCAACCAAGTGGTTAGTAACACTTCAAATGTCTTAAGCATTATCAAACTTTGTTTCGCATTATATGTTAATCATGTCAGGGAGCACTTCTTAACTTTATTGACAAGTCTACGGATCTAACACAACTTAAGAAACGTTTGACTGTGCCCGGCATTTTACCCGGAATATGTCGCTTTACATACTGTACACAAAACCAAGGCGGCCAGGTGTAACGAAAAGCGCACTGAACATTAAAACCTAGAAAACATCAAAATAAAAAAGTAGGAGTCCTAAGCAGAAAATATGTTAAGTATTTGTCGAGGTGCGAAATCATAATCCGAAAGGAGGTTGCTCGAGTCGCAAGAAAAAAAAAAGAATCCCAGTTTTTGATCACACTTGTTGTGACGAGGTTTAATTTGATAAACATAAGTACTTCACAAAACTCGATCAAAGATCACGGGAATGGGTTTAACAGTTGGGTTTACCTCGGTGTAAAAACCTGTGAAGTTTTTCTTTCCTTTGTGGCTATTACTTTCCTTAGCTCTATTGTGTTGACTTCTCAGTGGCTTATTTGTATTCACTGTTTTACGTCACTCGTGAGTTTTACAGGTTTTTACACTGAGGATGAGCCAAACAGTTTGTACGGATGCAAATATAGTAGCTGGCTGATAGTGAACAGTTTGATTTGATTATTCAGGGTATTGTCTCAAAGTTTCATGTTTTTGTGCACAACAATAGCTCGCATTTTTGCATATTTTAAATGCATTGATAGTTTCTCCTGTTCACGTGAAAACGAAACCTTGGAGACAATACCCTTGAATAATGAGAGGCTTTCACTTGTAAAGACAAAATTTCCGATAAAAAATTACCGAATTGTAGCGCTTGATTTTACTGCCTTACAAATATATCAATAATCTGAAGACTCAAAGGTCTCCTAAAAAGACGTTTAATCTATCGAGCAGTTGAATTAATTCGTTAAAGTGGACCAATATGTTTAAAAAGTCGCTAACAAGAGTGCCTCGATACATACTAATCAAATCCTTCTTTCCCTTGAACGATTTTGGAAGAACAGCTCCCAGCACCGAGAAGTACTGCTGCAAGTAAAATAGGTAATGGCGTCATTTCGTTGCTATGTCAACTCCGATGTCATTGCAACAACGATCATAATTGTTTATGGCGACGTAGTTTATACTCAAACTTCGGAGATACTGACCCTGAAAAACTGTATCGAGCCACCTTGAACTGCTAAAATACTTACTGCATTTCTGCTATTGAGCACAAAAATCAATTATTAATACTTTTAACTATGTTAATAGAGACTGTCTAATAATTTCCCTTTAAATACCGTCATAGAAAAAAATTCAAGCTTGGAAAGCCGAATATGAAGACATACGAGTGGCAGCCACTCGTATGTCTTCATACAGGCTGGGTGACCTGTGAAAAGCCGTCAGGACAAAACAATGACCCAGGTGCTTCTCACACATTTAATCGGCGTTTGTTTTAAAAAAAAAGTACCCAAAATACATTTGTGATATTGTAGGAGTAAGAAAAAAAACCCAAAATTATCAGATCTTTTGTCTAAATTTGTGATTTTTCTGAAATTCGGTTTCCTGTGGTGAAAATTGAAAATCTTTATTGGCAATATTTTTCATGTTCCACCGAACAGATTTTGGCGGATTTCTAGTATGTGGTTAAGAAGCCATCCAAAAATTAAATGGCGTTGAAAAAAATACTACAGTAATACATCAGAGAATCAATTACAAGGCATTTTCGAGCCACCGCTCGCTCCAGACTCGAAGACAAAGATGGCACAAAACGAATCTTTTTTTAAATACGAAAACGTACGGAGAACTTCTGAAACCTTAGGAATGAATTTTTAGGGGGTCAAATCTCTTTTAAGAACCATTAAAAAGGCATTTATAAAGTGGAAAAAGGGCTCCGCAAGCTTGTTTCACTCAGCCCATTGTGGTACCATTTGAGGACAATTTAAGGAGCTCCTACCGGTGTGCCTCCTTTTTATAACATTTTGTAGTATTCTCTTCTTTGTAATATGAAGAAGGCTGGTATGGCGAGCCGAAAATATTGCTGTAAATAAGCAATACACGCTCGAATTCTTGTTTTTTTTTCCCCTCTTTTTTGACGGTTTTAACTTTAAAAGGCCATAAAATAAATATCGGCTCCAAAGGTCTCAACGAATTATCGAAAACGCGTTTCGAATTTCCAGTGGCAAATCGACAGTTGTTATTTTAACAGTCCAATCATTGCGCGTACTCAAATCTACGTACACAGTTGGGGGCTTAGAACAAGGATTCCGGCGCTCTAGTTTCGTATACAGACTTAACCGGAGTTTAGTCTCTATAAGAACTAGCCAAGGGTTACTCATACGTTGCAGTGGCGGATCCAGGGGAGGGACCCGGGGGCCCGCCCTACCCCTCCCAACATATTTTTAGCGCAAACTGAGGCCCGAAAGCAGAGAAAAATTTTTTGGGGAGACCGCCCCCCCCCCTTATCTCAGGGTCTAGACGACCGCCGCCCCCCACCCCCCCCTTATATGAAGGTCTGGATCCGCCACTGCGTTGTCTCGTCTACCCTGAATGTCACGTGTACACATTCTTATATCTACCGACCTTTGCTTAGAGGAGACAAAAAAAATTACACGCTACCAATTAAAACGTTGTTTTTGGGTTTTCCTGTTCAGTAAAACGTTTGGGAACTTGGAACACAGCTTTCTAGACTTGCTTTTCAACATCAAGAGATAAGGTGAAGTGGCATAGCCCAAATTGTTTGCAAGAGACTGTCGAGCGAGTCGACTTCAAGATTTCAGTTTTCACTTTCGCTCTTGTAATGACGCTACAAAAATACGATCCAAACGACCAAATATAGCCAAGAAGAAAAAGTGTGGGTAACTGTGGTAGTCTTCTAGTTATTTTGTTTTAGTAGTTGTACTAGTGCTAAGTAAACGTACTTAGAAATCCATTCAGCTTCCATCATGATCGATCGCATTGCACATGCAAGTAATACTTTTAAAACTTACGCATTGAGCGTGGGAATCATTGCTATTGTTATTGTTGTTTAATAGTTATATGTACAGTTGGCATGTTTAGATATAACATTCACTTTTATCCGACTCTATAATTTTAAAATAACGATTTTTACATTGTATAGAATCAGACAAACGCGAACTTGCACAAAAAAAGCTGAGCGCGGCCATAGTGTTTCGTTTATCTCGCCAATCTCGACCCTAGAGCGGCCGTCACTTTTATACAGCGGATGGGGTAACGGACAAGTAATTTCCGTTGTTGTACAAAGGGATCGCGGCCTCTGGGAACGAGATTGTTATCTCGTGCGTACAAAGTGGAAGGAAATGCCGCCCGCAATGGACTCCCCAAGGGAGAAAACTAGTACATGCTCACCCATTTCAGGACGTGGTTCTAAAACAGAACTAGAAAATTGGACTGCATTGCCTCTAAATAAGGCTGGGGCGATTTTATCATGTTTTTCCATGAATAGCAAGGGACTGAAATCTACTCAATACGGTAAGGCAAAAAAGGCAGCAAGTAATAAGAAGAGTGAACGTTTATTCCGATATAGTTTTGCAAAACAGATTAAAAACTCGAGGTCAAAAAAAATTATAATAATAATAAAAATACAAAACAAAACTAACAAAAAAAAACAAACAAAAAAAGGAAAAAAACACCTAGAGAGATACATTTTTGGATTATTTAGTCGCGTATATTGCTAGAAATTAATTGTGCGGTTATCGTCTATGTTATTTTACTGGCCTCAATTCTTTTAACGCAATGTTAATCAATGGCTGTTGGTCAAAAAATTCTGCTTCACGAGCTAAACAAACAGTATTGCAATCAGTAGTAAAGAAAAGAACGAGGGAACTGAAAAAGGCAACGCTCCACTCTTGGCTTTAGGCTTCCCTCCCCTGGTTACGTGTTTTTCACAGGATTTCTGCTTGCTCTCGCTGAGACATAAGGCGTAATCCATCACGTGAAATACGTACTGTTGTTCCACTACACCATGAAATAGGTAGGCCCCAGGTCCGTCCGCGAACACGCCTGCAAAATAATAGTCCGATATGAGTACAGGACACCGCCGAAAACATATTTTAGGTTGATTTAAAGATTAATAGGTAATCGTTTATTGATCAGTCTGGTTGTTTGCGGGCGGGTGGAGTTGATGTTTGAATCCGCCTGATAGAAAGAAAAAAACCTCCAGGAAGCCTTATCCTGTGAAAAGGACCTGAAGTAGAAAAAGAAAACGAGCGCTGTTCTTTAGTTGCCTTTAAAAAGAGTAAAAATTTGGCCGAGATATTCTTCTTAGAAAAATTATCAATATATCCTTACAGTTTTTTTTGCGCGAGACTAGAATGAACTATCACGAGGGGTTCACATGTGTGTAGAAAAAAAAGCACTGCACGAAGTCTAGAGAGATTTTAGGAGCAAATGTTTGGTTCATATCTCACCAACATCCTCCGATCCATGACTCTCGCTTTCCGCAAGGAGAACTGTAGCCTGCTGAAGAAAGTCCTTGTCAGCGGTGTTTACATTGCGCAGGTCTTGACGAGGTCCGCTCAGTCCACCTGGTCCGTCTGCATACCCAAGGGTGGTGTATGTTCTGTTCTCTGTGTCCACAGTTAAAGTATTGTCTACCTCTTTTAGTATACCAAACACAGGGTTCCCACGTTTGGGGTATCCACCGATGGTAAAGACGTGAGAGTGATCAGCTGTAACTGTTATCAGAGTTTCGTCTAAAGATTTAAGTAACGGTTGATATGATTAGCAAATAGATATATTGATAGAACTGAGAGAACTCGTAGAAATATGGTACTTGATTTCAATCACACAACGAAAAGAGTTGTAAAAACCTTTCTACTTTCGAAACCAAAGAGAGTTGATAGACCGCATTTAAAACAATGAAATCCTGATTACCGGCGGTACTGGATTCCGATTTCTTTGTCAGTGNTGTGTGTAGAAAAAAAAGCACTGCACGAAGTCTAGAGAGATTTTAGGAGCAAATGTTTGGTTCATATCTCACCAACATCCTCCGATCCATGACTCTCGCTTTCCGCAAGGAGAACTGTAGCCTGCTGAAGAAAGTCCTTGTCAGCGGTGTTTACATTGCGCAGGTCTTGACGAGGTCCGCTCAGTCCACCTGGTCCGTCTGCATACCCAAGGGTGGTGTATGTTCTGTTCTCTGTGTCCACAGTTAAAGTATTGTCTACCTCTTTTAGTATACCAAACACAGGGTTCCCACGTTTGGGGTATCCACCGATGGTAAAGACGTGAGAGTGATCAGCTGTAACTGTTATCAGAGTTTCGTCTAAAGATTTAAGTAACGGTTGATATGATTAGCAAATAGATATATTGATAGAACTGAGAGAACTCGTAGAAATATGGTACTTGATTTCAATCACACAACGAAAAGAGTTGTAAAAACCTTTCTACTTTCGAAACCAAAGAGAGTTGATAGACCGCATTTAAAACAATGAAATCCTGATTACCGGCGGTACTGGATTCCGATTTCTTTGTCAGTGGAACTTAGATTCTGGATTCCAATCTTTAGTAGGATTCCGGATTCCTTCAGCTGTTTTCCGGATTCCAAAGCCCAGGATACCAGTTTTCTACCTTTCCCTTGAGTATCCCTCCCTCCGCCCCCCAAAATCAATGTTGCATTTTAATCCGGCTTAAGACAATCTTGAACTACAAAAAACATTAATTCGGGAGCGGGGGCATTTACGGCGTTTAAACAGAAGTAAATGGTAAGCGAATGAAATTGCTAATAAAAGCGCGCGTTTTAGACTAGCCTGTGTACAGACGTCCCCCCTCTCTTTGCACAGGCTAGTTTTAGACAAGTGCGTCAACTACTTTTGTTACTGACTGTAGATTACAATATATAGCAGAAGTACCGGCGCTTTAGATGAGGAACACTTGACATAATAAGATACGTCAATTATTTACCTTTCTTCACCATTTCCAAGGCCTTAGAAACCGCTTTATTCATAGCAACCGCGTCATTAAGGGCTTTAACAGCCTTGCCATCGTGATGTCCGTGATCAATACGTCCCGCTGAAAACAGGACACAAGAAACATTCCTTTTAAAAGAAAGAGTATTTGCGGGAAACAAAATAATATCATTTCACAAACAAGTAAGATCAAATATGCTGCAAGCAATGTGAAATCCCCTCTGAAATATACATTTACATTGGTCGAGTTGTTAAAGTTCTCATATTAGCAATACAGGCTTGTAAAAGGTTTCATTGACTGCTGCTACAATGATAGATGACAATGAAAGTTTCTGACCTATAAACAAAAGATTTTTAAAAAATGAATGCAAAAATAATGCACACTGATATTAACTTTTTAACCAACCTTCAACTAATAGGAAGAAGCCTTTAGGGTTCTTCTTCAGTATTTCAATGGCTTTCTCCGTCATTTCTGCAATGGATGGTTCACCGGCCTTATCATCAGCTCTCTCCACTTCGTACCTCATGTTGGATGGTTCAAAAAGGCCTTGGAAACACTGAACAAGTTAGTTAAGGGGGCAACTCTGTTTAAGAGCATTGTTTTTCGTATATGTTCGTCCTTTTTCAGTTTTCCTTCGATTGAAAAAATACTTGCAATTTTGCAGTCCTTGGTTCAATAATCTTTGGGCAATTTTTGGATGATTTTTGAATGATTTCAATGTATAAAAATTAGGGAGGGAGGAGACTATTGGAAAAATATTGGAAATTTGGAAAATATTGGATTTGGGGGTTGTTAAAATTGAAAATATGAAGTGAATGATTAGTAGACAAATCGACCAGATAGTCCACCACCACAACAAGGGGCCTCTGAGCCCATTAGCGAACTAACTGGTTTATGTTTATACCTTTTCTTCCTTTATTTATTTCTTTCCCAACAACGTTACATTCTCTTAAAAAAAAAACAAACAAACAAACAAAAAAAAAACAGACTGCCCCCTGGGGAAGAGTCTTCCTTATCGCTCATTATCACTCGCCCTTATCTCTAGAGAGTAGGAGATGGATACAGCGAAGATAACTCTTTCGTTAGGAGGCGTTGGAGAGGAAATTCAGGATCGTAAATATATACGACTGGTTGGTAATGTTTCATAGTTAAAATAACCATTGTTTACACAGCTGATTCAATAAAGGTTGCCTATGGGCATTGGGAATTGGGAATTGGGGATTGGGAAGCAATTTTTTTACACTCAAGTAAATCACTGCATTGTTTCAGATGCCCAAATTTCCAATGTCCAATTACAAATCAGCAATTACCAAAGCAACCTTTTTTAATTGAGCTGTATACTAGAGTTAATTATAGAAAATTATATATGCATCTTCATTGTTTCTTTCCTTCGTTTTTGTCTATCTGATAACAAGTCTCATACCCAACACACGATCAACTTTCTCCGCATCAATCTTCTCAAACTCAGTTTTGTTCCAGACGTATTTCGAATTCTGGTATTTATCGACCCATTCTTTAATCAGATCTCTTCCGTCCAGTCTCCTTCCTTTTTTATCCGGGTATTCAGGATCTGTCTGATTCTGCGTCATGAGTTCCCTGCGGCCTCCAGCGAATACAACCTCGATGCCATCTCCATACGGATACTCAACAAATTGTAAGGCTGTAAATTCGAAACAAAAATAGGATAAAGTCGTTATTAAAAAAGTAAATGAAGATGAAAAGGCAATCTTAAGTCGCAAATTGAAACCAAACTGAAATTAACATATTACACTTCTATAGTCCAAATGACTTGAGGCCAATCAACATTAACCGAATACAAGTACCTAATACAACATTACAAGTACCTAATTACAACTCTAATACAAGTACCTGGCATTGGGGGGAGGAGGGGTAAGAGTCGATCACTCATCTGGAGGGACGGAGTGGGGCATGGAAATCTATTGAGTTAAACCCCCTCGCCGTGAAGTTTAAAAGTACTCTGCTTCACTTCAACGTGGTAGGCAACTAAATAACAAGAGGACGCCCCCATTTATAGAGAAATCGACTTAATTAAACAATACCTATGTCCTTGCACTTGGACCCATCATCCTTTGCTCTTTTCTTTATATCGGCGTCACTCTCCCAGTTGCGATCTGCTGTGTGAGCATACGCACATCCGGGAGTCGCGTGTGTAACTCGTGTGGTGGTGACAATTCCCGTTGACATTCCAGCCTTCTCAGCAAGCGTGAGAATGGAGACAGCTTTTCTCTTTTTGGTTAATGAAGAACAGTAAAATCGCGTAATGCTGGAATCTACTCCCATGACGCCTAGGGAAATTTTTTGAAAAATAGGAAGAGAACCAGCTATTATTTGAAGGAAGATCATCGCAGTTATCTACGCAACTTTTTTCAGGCTTTCTTTTCGCAACTGCATATTTGCGTAGATAACTGCGATGATCTTCCTTCAAATAATTCTTCACTCCGCAGTTCACATACATGATTTTCATATATTCATAATTTCCAGAACCAGCTATATGGACAACAATTAAGAACGTAGCGGTCGTGAGCAATTTAGAAGTCTGACAAAAAACGTACAGAAATTTATGAGACTAAAATCTAGATTGTTTGGTGCAAAATACTGCACACAGTATTGGTCACATGTCTCACTTGTTATGGCTACGTACCACAATAGTGAACTGGAGCCTTTTGTATTCTTGGGAAGCGGTCTCGCTCAAATTTTCGGGCAAATCGTCTCTATAGGAATAAAGATACTTAGCAATTACAAATAGTGGTGTCAAGGCATGTTAAAAGGGAAAAGGCTCCTCTTCCAGTTGACGTGTGTCGCTCAAAAGCATCTCACTAATGAGAGATTTAGGGTGACGTTTACGGCAAACCGCAAACTCCAGATTCAAGTTGAGAATTTCTTCAAATAGAAATTGAGCAGTTAAAAACAGTCCAAAACAATTGTTATGGACAAAACTACCGTGAAGCCACTGATTTTGAGGTAGAAGTAGTTGACAGTAAAACAAACTTAAGGAAAGACTTGATCACGTGGTAAAAAATTCACGTTTGCCGTCAAATCTCTCTATTTACTCTTGCAACATCACTACGCGCAAAATTTTCGATACTGAGTCAACACGCATGGCTAGTACGCACCTTAAGAATGCGTAAAAGGATTGCTTTTGCATGGCCTTCGGTTGAAAAGGAGCCTGACAAAATAAAATGACGACGAAACAGCTGTTTATGGCTGTCACTGCTAGGATGACATGGCTGTTCGCATGTACAAGGTACTGGCCAGACCGAGGTTTTGATAGTTTGTACTTCCTTACCTGTTTGGTCTTAAAATACTTCTGTTTGTCAATTGTTTGTCTAAAACTAAACTCACCCTGTATTCTACCTACGTTTTGATCCCTATAACGCGGATTTTCATCTGCAGTACAAACATTCTGGTACGTTTGCTAACCGTAAATATGAAGAACTGTCTTACTCCAACAAATCTGAAATGTGCGACCACATTCTAGTAACTCTATTGAAAATAGTACCCCATTATAGTCAATCCAGTTGTAAAAATGCGACCCCATCCAGCCTCACATCGCCGCCTCTTATAAGGAAGTACCCCCTCCCGGGGGGGGGGGGACGAATTCATATTGAACCTGTGGTAGGGCTAGCTCATAACGAAATCAGTTTATGACCAAAGCCCTCGAGGCTTTAGCTCTTTCAGCTGTTTCAGTCAAGGGATTTTTACACTCACAAGTATCAAAACCGATAATAATGATAATAAAGCCAGAAAAAATAAAATAAAATAAAAAAAATAAGATGGTCTGTGAAAACGCCCTAGCATGGACACAAGGAAATTACTCCCTCGGGTTATGAACGAACGAGTTTGGGTTGTTTCTTGATGTTGACTTCATCGTGCGTTTATCAAATGATGTAATGCAAAGGCATTACAACAGTCTTGGGACAAGTAACAGTTTCAGCAAAACCGACAATTTCCAGGGTTTAATTAAGGGGCCGGCTAATATTTGGGCGCCAATATGAGTTTGGTAAGTACGGATAAGGTTTAAACTTACCGTTATTGGTTTTTATTCCGCTCAGAAATGCTGTCGCGGAGCTCGCAGAATCTGTTCCCTGTTGATCAACTGTGTACGTTTTAGCGAGGGCTGACCACGGAAACACTTCCCAGCTCAGAACATTCTCCTCTCCCGTGTTTTCCTTCTGCTGTCCGTCGAGGATTCGTGTCGCGGTGATGGTAGTGATACCCATTCCATCACCGAGAAACAAAATAGCACTCTTAGCGGTGTTGGTGTTTGGTTTTAACTTAAGGTTGTCCTCAACAAGCTTCACGCCAGCTTTGTACCATGCATTGTTGTCTTGATTCCGAAAGATGTCACCATTGACACCTGGAAAGATGAAACGTCACGGACACCGATAAGTTGTCATGTGATCACTTGCCTTGAGTTCTTTTAGCTTATAACTTCCAAGTGAAATGTAAAGCAAATAAAAAAATCCAAATTTCATGCTATAAATAATAATTCTATTTGTCAAAATACTGCCCCGCATTAACTGAAAAGTACTGCGAAAGAGATTTCGTTCATGGATATGGTTACACTCCCACCCGGACACGCTCGCTATCTTTTAGAGTGTCAGTTCCCCAGGCCAGCGCATAAACAGCAAAACATATGTAAATTTATTAGATTCACTGATTGACAGAAAAAACGATGTTAACGAAGTTTCATTTTGTTTTCTCCGTCTTGTGTCAAGATGGGGAATTGGCGCTCTTACACGAGCTAGGCTAGGCTGGAGCTAGGCTTAATGAATCGCCCTGTGTTTATGCTGCGTCCCGCTTACACTTGGCAAGGACAAGCGAGAACGCAAGAAAAGGAGAATTTTGCTTACTTCTCCTATCCTTGTGCTTGCAACTCACTCACTCACTCACTCGATTCTAATTAATTTATTCATTAAAGTCAGATTAGACACTTTACTCTTACCTCCCTTACTTAGTATTACTTTTGTTCCAAGTGCCTTTTACGCATATGTTTGGAATATTCTAGAGGGCACTACTAAGGCGAATTTTTTTCCCGACACATCTATTATAGAGATGGGTTTTGTATAAATGGAAAGATTCTAAAGAACACTGATAATATCATCCGCAAGAAGTGGACTTAGAATTGTTAAAAGGACGTTGAAATAATTGAGCGTGGTTCATTGTTGCATATTTGGACGAATTGTGCACATTTGTTCCCGATATTATACTTGATATGGAGAAGATGCGATCAACGGGAGTGTGAAAGAGCTATTGCAGCCTGACGATGGGATTTCGTTCAGCGAAAAGCGAATAAACGAAAGAGTCTTATAATCACTACAAAAAAACGGTCCTCGAATTGTTAAAGCGACATTGAGGAGTATCTATTGTAGTTTATTCAGTTAATTGGACGAATCCGTTCGACCATTTGTCTACGTATGCAAACAGGGAATGAATTAATGTTGTGTGAACTAGAAGCACAGGTTTTAGAACCAACAAGCGTTACGCTATTTTGCTTGAATTCTTAGGTGATCTTTGCCTTAAAGTAAGCTTTTGTTTGTCGGTGATTCCATTTAGCAGGGCTATTAATGTAATTTCTACAAAAAATGCTGCGCTGGTATAAACAAGTGTCTAGAACATTCAGGTGGAGAAAGGCAATCGGATACTTCGACTGCGTTTAAATTACTTGGCTAGGTCAGAGCACGTACTGCTTTGAGCTTAAATAATTTTTAGCTCGTGTTTATCAAAAGCGTTTTCTATAGCAGTTCAATTTAGCCATAAACGCCTGTATTCTGTATTTAATATAGCTCGCACTACACATACTAACCGTTACGTACTCTTTGTGAACAGCATATGGAAACATTTATTTAAAAGCATCGCACTTTTAGGAAACCTTCGAGGTCCATTAAAAGGGTGAGGACAAAACATGGACCAGGGGCCCATGGACCCCCACTTTGGACCGGGTTCATGGGCCACTTTCATGGACTGGGTCCATGGACCCCCTGTCATGGACAGGGTCCATGGATAGTTTTTTTTTTTTAATAACGAGAAATGAACAAAAACAGAAATAGTGCAAAAATAAGGTTAAAAAACAACAACAACAACAAAAACAATGCTCGATTGAACAGTAATGTTTAATTGTGCTTACATAGTGTAAAAAAAAGGGGGGATTGGTACCTCATGCCAAAATGCTGCTTGTTCCAATGAATTGTTTTCTCTGATGGATAGATTATGCTTCGGAGGAAAACCTTTTGACTGAGCAAATGTGACTTTTGCCGCTTATTTCATACTGAGAGGTCGTGACACACATATTGATTTTCTACCTCTTTTAAAACTTAAAGCTGCTCATTGCGGCTGATTAAAAGGGTTTTAGGTTGTTTAATTTCTCCAATGTGCATCCTGGATCTGAATAATTCTAAGCCACTTTCTCACTTTGTCCACGAATGTCACTTTTCCTGCAATGTTTTGTCAGGCTGGGCCCAGCTCCTTAGCGCTTTTAGCAGGACGATTATAAATTCTCACGGATAGTGATTTACAGATCAAGATCTCGAAGAAGAAGAAGTGGCATGAATTGTAGCTTAAACTGAAGCTACATAACCTATGGAGAATTGCGATGTGACTCAGTCATGATTGCTCTAAAAGCAATGAATTCTTAACGCCCAGCTTGTTTTTCTAAGGGTGATGCGAGTCTTTGTACTGGAGCGCGTAATTCCTCTCTTGGTGATAACTTTTGAATTAGCTTAATTCAACAGTCTTGCGACTGCACATGTGCAAGCAGAGTGTATGTCATGTAAGCACAACTAAATATTTGTGATCAATCGTGAGCATTGGTCGACAGCGTCTGGTCAAATCTTTTTTGGCACTATTTCTGTTTTTGAGTGTCCATGGACCTGGTGCAAAACCTTCTTATAAAATTATAAAAACTGTCCATGGACCTGGTCCATGACGGGGGGGTCCATGGACCCGGTCCAAAGAGGGGGTCCATGGACCCCTGGTCCATGTTTTGTCCTCACCCCCATTAAAATATTGTTTAAAACCACCGTTTAAATTAAACTCGTGCTTATGTAAAACTTGGCTATTTTACAGGAAAGTGCACTTTCGAAAGCAAATTATTTTACAACTAAAAAGCGTTAATAATTGCTTTTAAAGGTGATCTTTGCTTTGTAAGTAGAAATGCTGCGCTGATAACAAGTTTCTAGAATATTCAGGTGCACATGCAATCGGATACTTCGAGTCACGCTGTATTTTGGCAAGTCCGTACATGCACAATGAACCGTTCAAAAAGATTTATATGTTTTTCTTTGATTATTGAACTGTCTTTTCTACACTAATTCAATTCATCCATGAGCTCGCTCCTAGGAGCCTTTGATTGCTATCGGTTTAACACCTCCCCTTCCTCCACCCCCAGAGCAACTTAAGCCGCATTGAAATGAAGGGAAGACTTTGCAGTTACTAAAGTCTGATAAAACCACATGTAAACATTGCCTTCGGATTGGCTGTCGTTAGTCGACTGATGGCTCTCCAATGTTTATATCGTCGCGTCATCGTGATAGGTGACAAATAGCACAAAGTAAGTGATATTTAAATGATGTCATTTCACTATGATACTGTACTTAAAACTTTTGGATATCCGTAACTGAAAATCGGGTTTAAATCAAGCGGATCTCTAAATAAGTCTATTTGTGATTAAAACTCTATTTACATAGCCTTGGGTTTAAAAATTCGTTACAAGAGTCATAGTTTTTTTTTTCTCTCAAACGAGAAATCTTTCTATGCTGAAATGGGTTATATGGTCCGGAGGGATTACTTAGCTTGGGTTAATTTTTGCTGGGTATGTGCCGCTGGCCTCTCATAGCCCCTACCCCATTATAGTCTATTCTGTGGTCAATGGTAGACTCCATTTTAGTCGACACTTTTGGGCAAATATGTAATTTTCGCAATCCCAACATAGTCACTTTCTATTTATGTATGTACCTTATAGGTCATCCCTAAATGAATTATCCCATTTTTAAAATAAATTGAATGAAGAACACTTTACTTTTCACCTGTAGAACAAATATTCTGATATGTTTGCCAACCGTAAATATGAGGAACTTTCTTACCCCAAAAATCCCAAAATGTGCGACCCTATTCCAGCGGCACATCCCCATAAGGAAGTGACCCCCCCCCCGGGGGGTTTTGATGGATGAACGTGCTCTGTCATTTCTTGGCGTTGTTTATGTGGTTAACAACGCTTTGATAGGGTTGGCAGTTTGGAATCGAAAAAGGCGTAGAACACGGTTTTGTCCCCAAAAGATCTATTTTAATTAGGGTTTTCAGAGTATGACGTTGAAATATAGCATACATTGTGTTTCATCATTATTCCTGAAGTGCCCTAATATTGACCTTTATGGAAATTCAAGCCGCGGATAAATGTTATTTCCTCACGTAAGTTTAGAGGAAGAACTGTTATGCTTTTGCCGTTTTACATGTTCCCTAAAGTGAGTGAGAAACATTGCGACTCGCGGGCTGCTTTCAGCTGCAGCATTTCGTCGGAAGAAAATAGGATAGATTTTCACTGTCGGTCGCGTAGCTGGGCCAGTAGAGCGAGGTTCAATTTTTTTACGTGTACGCGCGACCTTCTATACATTGCCTGTATTTTAGTTTACGACATTAACGCGCGTAAAATTTACGTGCGCACGCACAGTAAAAATTACACGACAGTGGTAATCATCTTTCGAGGGACGGCTACATGAACAATCGAAAATAAAAAACTTTCAAGCTAGAGATGAAAATCAATTCATAATTAAGAGCAAATACAAGATGGGCTCAGACTGGTGGTTTACGGAGACTGAAAAAGTCCCCAATTCCTCTAACGAGCCACGGGAGGTAGCGAGAGATTTACTGACCCTTCCTCAGGAATGTCTCGTCTTCTCCAACCTCGTACTGCAAGCTGCGTGTTTTAATGCACGCTCATGTATTTATTTATTTTATTTACACTATCATGTAACAGTTTGCATGGCTACAAAAAGAGAACTGTTACCTCCAGTAGTTACGTAATAGCATAGTCCAGGTACCTACTAGTTAGACTCTGAGTAAGTAACGTTAGTATTATACAAGGGGTGGATTCATTTGCAGTCTACGCTAACGTCAAAGTCTATGGTAAAAAAAAACTCGAATAGCCGTCACATCTGCCCATTAGAATTTTTAATTGTTTTGATTCTTACAACAAAACATTAATATTCAGAGAGGGAAACAAATAAATCCACTCCAAATCTTCTACACAGATATTTGAACCATATTTTTCTTACCTTTTGACGCACAAAGTAAGGTAAATATGGAGCAAATCCAGAGAAGATGACCTGCGACCGCCATTTTTCAGTTCACGGTTTCGCTTCTCCGGCCGATGGCATGACTTGGAAGAGAGATGGCAAGATTTTGAAAATAGATTAGTTTACATATTTTGTTTGAAGCATGTTTATCTAAGGTTAGACACGTGACAGAAAAACATGTTCTAATTGGGTGCAAAAAGGACATTATTTGTAGTATGAAGAGCGTCAAACGATTTGTTACGTTCATGAAAGGCGACTGTTTCACTTAGTCAGAGGCACCCAACAACAGTTTCGTCCTAAATGCATTGAAAACACTTTTTAGGCTATCCAGAGTACTTTTAGATCTGCATTCTAAGCGGCGCTATAAAATTTGTATCTGTTCGGTCATCCTAGGGGAACTTGAGTATTGTCGAATTTACAATTCGAAATTTTAGGTTTCCTTTTTCTGCGAAAAATGGCATTCTGAAATGCGAAAAACTGAAATGTTTAGCCTTCCTCAAGCTATAGAAAATTATAGCAATTTTTGCTTCTCCGAACAGATATACTATAGAAAAGCCCCTATTTGGTGACCTGACCCAAGACCTGATTGTGTTTGCTTGCCAAATTATTCATTATCATTCTTGTCGAATGAAGCCAATAGCCGCACGAAGTGGAGAAGAGTTATGTTTAACGATTATTTCAGTTAATTTGCTTTGCGACTGCACAAATAAACGTGACGAACTGCTGCGTCATGCAACGCAATAGAAAAGTTCATAAGTGAATTTGCTTGTGTCGATCGTTTTCTTATTCAGTGTCAAGTTTTTGTAAACTCGAAAGTAGGGAGGCTTATAAGTATCATTTTTTGAAGCTTGTGACACATAACATACTGTACTACTATTCTCGTTGAGACATTTTTATTTTCAACTCGAGTTACCACAGTAACAACTGACCTTTTCAAGCAATATCAAAATGTTAAAGACGCTTTCGTCGTGATTGATCCAGCTTTCCTTATTTGTGGCTTACGCAGCCGCGTACGCTTAAACTGATGCTGAAAGGAAGGGTTTATTACGAGAAAATAACTTTGTAATTCTATAATAAGACCGAATGTGAAACGTTTTGGACAAACTGTTCAGGGCAGAGGCTTCAACTTCATTAAAATTCATTTCCTTGTTTCCATTTCTATCGCCATCTCTTCGTGATCCTCTTTGCGAAAGCAGACTCAAATACAAATTCCTTTTACTATGAGGGACGGTGTTTTCAGTCTCGTTGTTGTTTCTTATAATTAAAGTTTTTTTTATAATTAGGATCTCTTCGATCTTACAGGAAGCTTTTTCTAGTACTTAAAGCAAGTTCCTGCTGTAAGCTTCGTGTTATTTTGTCCCATGGTCCTCGCTAATCTACATAAATTTGAAAATAAAACGCTGAAATTACATAATTATCGTGACGTCAGCTTTTTTCAAAAGTTTGATCTCATGAGCAAAATCTTTTCCCCAGATGTTTTATAGTTTAGCCACCTTGAGGAACGATTACGAAAAGTCCCGTTTCCGTTTTTTTATTTTAATTGATCAATCTTGCAAACACGTCAAGTTTCATCACCATCTTCACCAGTAATGTCATTCATTTTCTGCATGCAAGGAGTTTTGATTGTAGTTTGTCAATAAAAAACGGACAAAAAATATGAAGAGAAGATGAAAACATAATATCATATTTGCCACTCCTTGCACCCCATTCAGTACCTCCACCTCTCACTCGATCCCCCTTGCCTTATCACCCCTCCCTGTCGAATGCACTACAGTAACTGGCCTAATTTCAAATTATTACTGGTTTAACTGAACATAATTTTAATCGTTATTTGGTCCAACCCTCCCTTTTTTTCTGCTCCTCTCTTGACAACGCTGAATCAAAGTTTGCTGACTCCTCCGGAAGCCAACTTCTGATTCAGTAATTCAAACGGTCTTAAAAGATCTTTCAGTGGTAAAATTCACATATCCTAAGGGCTAGACTGGGCGTTTCCTTCTCTGTCTTTCTCCTTATGACGCTTGTACATGGAAGGGATTACTTGGTTTAAATCGTAGCGTGTGAAAGCGAAAGGATAACAAGGTTTAAGGAGAAACGTGATCTTTGCTTATTCCGTGCCATGAAAGACGCTAGTGTAGATTTTATTCTCCTCAAGCTCAAGTTAAAAAATAAAATGTTGTTATCACCAGCCAAAATCTTCAAACAAAGAATAAAGGAAATACAGAAAAAAAAAGAAAGAAATAGAAACTGAAACTGAAACTGAAGAGATACATGTTTCTATCGTTTAGACCCGTCTTCATTGATGTGATAAAGATAGATGTGATTCGATCATTAATTTTGTTTTCTTATTAATCTGAATCACTGCAGACTAGATGTAATCTTATCAAAGTTGTTTTCCGAGATTATTTGAGTCCGGAGCTACAGAAACAGCAGCGCAAACAATAGCAAAGAATAGAGCGAAGGGACAGACAAAGGCAACGCTCCACTTTTGCTCTTAGGCTTCCCTTCTCTATTCACGTGCTTCTCACATGATTTCTGCTTGCTCTCACTGAGACACAAGGCGTAATCCATCACGTGAAATACGTACTGCTGTTCCACTACACCATGGAATAGGTAGGCCCCAGGACCGTCCGCGAACACGCCTGCAAATAGGAAAACAGCGGAATGTCATTTCGGAGGGGTGGAAGAAAGCACATGTCACGACAAAAAAGCCTCTTAGTTCACTGCAAAATATTGAGGATTGAGGATTGAGCCGCAGGAAGTATTCTTTTGCATATGCTTTGGAAAGAAAAGGAAAAAATACTGCAAAACGAAAAGCGAACGCTGTTCAATTCATTTATCATCATTCATATCCGAGCTTAGAGTCATCATAACTTTGCGAAGGAAGATACTCCAATTGGAGAGGGAAAAAATTACGAAAATCAAATCTAAACATAATCTGCGTAACAGTAAACAAGTATTACGTATTATGACACTTATTGGTAGCCAAGGGAAGCTCTAAGGTGATGGTCTCCTGCATAATCTCAGCCCAACTTCTTACCAACATCTTCTGATCCATGACTTTCATAGTTGACAAGAACTGTAGCCTGCTGAAGAAAGTCTTTGTCAGCAGTGTCCACATTGCGCAGGTCTGGACGGGATCCTTTCAGCCCACCTGGCCCGTTAGCATGACCAAGGGTAGTGTATGTTCTGTTCTTTGTGTCCAAAGCTAAGCTATCGTCTACTTGTTTTATTATACCAAACACACGGTTCCCACGTTTTGGGTATCCGCCGATGGTAAAGACGTGAGAGTGGTCAGCAGTTACGGTTACAAGGGTTTCGTCTGAAATTCAAGTTAAGGTTTACATGGTTAGCAACTCTGCCTTTCAACAGTGCTGCGTAAAATAGACTACGAGTAGTCCCCCATTTTTCCTCAGGGATAGTAGAGCGAGCGAGACACAAGCACGCGTGAAAATCACCCCACGCGAGAAAAGGCGACACGCGGCGGGGAAATTTTCACGCGAGCTTGCGTTTCGCTCGCTCTACTATCCCTGAGGAAAAATGGGGAAATACTCGTAGTCTAGTTTAAAAAGACTATGAAAAATGTGTACCGGATTTCAAACATTTAATTAAAAAGTCAAAAGTCCCTACTTCCGCGAAACAAAAGGGACAGATACATGAGAGAATGTTAGACTACAGTTGTAAGGACTGAATTTAAAACCAGAGTCTTCTAGAACCGTGCGTGATAAGAGAACAACCCACGGGAAAACAATATACCATATAGCTTGCTTTATAATGAATTAGATTATTTAACAATTATTCCACCAGTGCACGTTGGATATGAGTTCGCTATAATAATCTCATATCCAACAAGCGCGAGTGGAATAATTGTCTTAATTACTAAAAACGCCCACAAAATATCGAGAATTCGTCAAGTATTTATTTGTAAAAACAACTGATTTTTCAGCTTGTTTTTAATTTTGAACAGACGCAAGTACTGTTACCATATTTGGAGAGCATGGTATAATGGCCCATATACCATGATGGCTAAGCCAGTCAGAGCTCTAGAATTGCATTATCCAATGATTCAGTTTTTAATAAAAGTCTTTAATATAGCAGTTTAATGTAAGAAATCCCGTTTTTGTGTTACTACAGCAAGAAGCCCCGATATTGACTTGGAAATAAAGGCCAGGAAGTACTGGTTGGCTACCGATTGGTACAGTAAATGGACCGCTATTGAGAGTCTAGGTGAGTGAGAGAAAACCGGGAAAATTTCCATGAAACCTGTTTATATGACTGGTTAACATGTGAAGATTTGTCACAGCCATCGCTTGTGTTGAAAATCAAAATGCAGATGCTTTCAATCAATAGCGCGATATAGTGGGGGATTTTACCTTTGAAAAAGAGGTAAATGGCAATTAAAGGGATGATTTTACCTTTGTTCACCATTTGCAATGCCTTAGTAACTGCTTTATTCATGGCAACTGCCTCGTTGAGAGCTTTTACAGCCTTGCCATCGTGATGTCCGTGATCAATACGACCCCCTGGCAAAAAAAAAAACAAGAACAAAAAAAACAGGAAGCATTCATATCTAGATTGATTCCTTGCCCAAGAAAGTTGTTACTGGAAATAGACGTTTAAATAAGTAACGGAGCTAGTCTGCGCAAGAAAATATAAAAATATAAGACTGCTCAATCTGAGAAACACGGGACGGACAGTTTACTCGCGCGTCTGTACCAAAAGTCTTCTCATTGAAGGGGTAAATTGACATAAAAAGAGTTCAATTTTGTCATTTATTTTGTTTTTTATGATAAATTTTGTCATTACATTTTGTCATTTCGCGTTGTTAAATATTCACTTCCTTTTTATTGCATCTAGTTGACAGATAAAAGACCTAAAAAAGGGTGTGAGGAATTTTCCGATTTCCCTTTGTAACTCATTTAATGTCAGTTTCTTTGCGTAAATCGCCCTCGAGATTCGACTTTTTAGTTTGAAATGCAATAATTCCGCTAATACGAGACATGTTCAAAATAAACAGCTTCCTATTAAAATCTCCCCTCGATCACACTCATACATCTGTAGAGACCGTGCTCTCGAACTATTCCACCCCAGGACTTACGTAACAACTTCGACAGTCGAACCTCGTTTTGAAATGAGACCACCATTGGGCCATTAAATTCTGGTCGTAATAACGAGGCGTTCGCATTAACGGGGTCTTCAAAATAATTAAAAAAATTAGTGATTTTTACACTTGGGTCGAAAGAATTTGGTCGTAATAACGAGGTAATCGTATAAACGGGGTGATCATAAGGAGGAGTTTCATTGTACTTAAAAAAAGGCAGGAAGTGGTTCCTCAATAGTCATGAGAAAAAAGCGACTTTCTTGGATTCCGCGAAATTCTTTTCTTAAACCACAACAACAACAGCGACAAGTTTAGTTTGATAAGTTCTGATCATTGAGACCAAGGGCGAAAATAACGCAGGGAATTTCCCACTTGCTAACTAACCGTCAACTAACAGGAAGAAACCTTTGGGGTTCTTCTGCAGTATTTGAATGGCTTTCTCGGTCATTTCTTCAATGGACGGTTCACCGGCCTTGTCAGCAGCTCGCTCCACTTCATATTGCATGTTAGAGTACTCAAAAAGTCCTTAAAAATACGAAACAGGACAATGGGTGGCTGGCTACACTCATGAAAGGAATCCTTTTTAGTAACTATTCCTTATATCACCACTTTAAGATGTCTCTTGTCCTCCTAGGAGTTGGAGAGAAGGGCAATAACTCTTTCTTTAGCTAAAGGTAGTTTAGAAACCTTGAATTTATAATGCGAGACAATACAGGGTATAATGAATGAATGTGAGTGATTCTAGTCGGTGGTGAGATGGGAAATAACCCAATCCGTTGTGAAATCTCTTTTAAAGTTGATAGAGGCACGGTGAAGACTTAATTCAAACCAGTCATCCGTTGATTTTCCCTTAATTAATCACAGCTGTGCTCATCAACAATTGAATTGAAACCAGCCAAGGGGTTCAAAGGATCGCTGGCTAGTCTAGATTCTAATGCGAGGTGTACTGAACTAAATAAGTCAGAAAAACAAATTCGTTTGAAGTTAAGGGCCATTTTCAAAAGCAAAACTCGCAAAACGACTACGTCAAAAGCGGTGGAGAACCACTACATACACACATCGATCGTTTATTGCGACGGTGTTGTTTCGTATGGCCCGAAATTATCGGAATCGTTGAAGTTGCCTGATGATCGAAGTCTGTGTGGTCCTATAATTTCGGACCATACGAAACAGCACTGTCGCAATAAAAGGTCGATGATTACTCCTGAAGCCTGAACTTCTGATAAGTTTTTAATAGTCAATGCTCTTCAATTAAATGAATTGAGCGCTCTACGAAATACATTCTACCCAGAATACAAGTATTTACATACACACACACACACACTCTACTCCATAGATCCCCCTTAGGGGCTCTTCCGCCATAAAAGTTCTATCTAGAGGCTACCAGTATGTCTTGCTGGCCCTGTTAGGATCTAGCGAATCCCCAGCCCAGAGACGTGTACAGAAACTTAACATCGGTCACAATCATTTCGTGCGACTTTCTTCTATACCCAATTATTTGATTTAAAGAAAAGCTAAAACTTTCAGTATAACTATATTGCCGACTGAATAATTATACGTACCAATTACGTGATCGACTTTCTCCCCATCAATTTGATCAAACTCGGTTTTGTTCCAAACGTACTTTGAATTAGGGTGTCTACCAACCCACTCTTGAATCAGGTCTCTGCCATCCAGTCTCTCTCCTTTCTTATCCGGGTATTCTGGATCTGTCTGATTCTTATGCATAAGTTTTCTGCGGCCTCCAGCGAAGACAACCTCCATTCCATCTCCATGGGGATACTCAACAAGTTGTAAGGCTGTATTATACGTAAAGTTTTGTGAGCAGTTTTCAGACAAGATAGGTTGTCCAAATCGAATTTACAAGAATAGACTTTCTATTTGGTCTTGGTCCACACGACTACAACGTGAAAGTGTCAAATTTCACGTTTTGTCGAGGACGGAAACACAAGACAACAACTTCCTTTTTCTTTTCTTGAACTTTGATAAAGTCCTTTAGAATTCAACTCCAAAGAAATGTGCCAACATTAAACAAGAGGGAATAAGCGCGATAAAGTTTAAGGCACCGCCCATTCACTTTTTAAAGTGACGTTTTCGTAGCCGTCGCCGTCGCCGTCGTTGTTGCTTAAGCTCCCTATGGACACCGCAGAGTGGGACTGGCATTGCATGCTTCGAAATGTAGCTGAAAAAACGGTGAGGACCAATGCTAGTTGTCCATCGGTTTTAGGAAAGGAAGCGTCCATGTTTTAAAAATAGGTTGTAAGACTATTTGAAACAACCACGTACGGATGCGAGTCGTGGATAATCAAACAGTATGATGCGAAGTACATACAGCCTTCGAGTATAAATGCTACAGAAAAATTTTGGCGTGCCCTAAACTCAGAAAAAGACAATTGCTTCCATTAGAAATGAGCTTTAAGTCCCAGAAGGATGGTTGTCGAACACCGTCATTGGGCGAAAACTAAAGTTCTTTGGACACATTAAAGGTCAAATGAACCAAAAAATTGACATATTTTCTTTTGTCGCTTTACCTTCACCAAACACTAAAAAGACCATCCTAAGTGAGATTTGGGTAAAGATTTTTATTCCGAAGCCTTTATAGAAAGATAAAAGATCAAAATCCGAGCATTTCCGAAAACTTCACGAAAACGTTTCTGAAATGGCCGCGTGATAGACTGGAGACTACGTGACGTCAATGTTGGTCTTTCAGGGTGGAAAAACGTTATGCGCAAGCTTCGGCGCATCCCTTATCGCCTGCGTTTGTTTGTCTCGTTCTGTGAGAGTTCTGACTGAGACTGAATGAAATATTAACACGAGGTAAAGGCTTTCTTTTTGTTTTTGTTGTTGTTGTTTTTTCGTCACTTGAAAGTTACTTTGGATTTAGAACAACCAATGTTAGAGTAAAAACAGATCATTCCGTCAGTGTGAGGGGAAATAAAACGTTTTGAACATTTCCAAACAGGTCTGTATTTACCTTATATATCCAGGAACTTCCTTATATGAACACATTTTGTGAATGCATCTTGAAAAAAATCGGACTTACGCACGCACATTTCCAGTACAACTCAAGGAAATTAGTAAATGTCGTTAAAGTCCGTTTTACATCTTTCCAGGTTTATGGCCGCACAAACCACTTCTGCGCCAAGTCGACTCGAGAAATTCTGTTTGGAATTTCCCGCTTTTTTTCACCTGACCAACATTGACGTCACAAGCTGTTTTTTCCGACAATTTTTCCGACCGCTCTACGAAGATAAGGGCCAAAAAATAGCAATTTTTAATTGCATATATCTCGGAGATACTTGCTTCAATTGAGCTGAAACTTCATAGTATGTTTATTTGGCTCATATTAAACACATTTCACTAAAATTGAACTAAAATAAAAAAGGTCGAAATTTTGGTTCATTTGACCTTTAAGAGACACAAAACTTTAGAAAAGGCTGTACTGAAAGGACAAGATCAGGAGGTAGCCTGAGAAGGAGATGAAAAGATTGCATAAACGAGGCGCTTAGATACCGACACCACGAATGAGGCTGGGAGATTCGCATAGATCGCGTTCTCTACTGAACTGTCGTGAATACCGCCAAATCCTGATGAGGATTTGAGACTATTCAGTAGCCTGCGTAGCAAGCGTTTTTTTTTCCCGCCTTACGAGTTCTTTAAGAAAGTTGGAGCAAGTGCGAGAAAAGGGAAGAAGAAGGAAGGGGAAGGGACAGCGAAAAAGAAAAACTTCGATTGATCTCAAGTTAATATAAATCTGACAGTCTCTCCGCTTATAAGGACAGAGACAAGAAACTAGAACTTTTCTAGAATACAGTTACCCATTTAAACTCCTAGATTGTCTACTAACAAGAATGAACCCATGACCTTCCAGACACTAGTCGGATGCTCTAACCACTGGGCTACTAAAACCTCTAGTGATGAGCAGGTCATTTGTGGCCTATTGTGGGCTGACTTAGGAAGATTCAGTCGCAAAATTGCGTTTTCAATCATCACCGTGAAAAGGTTGAATGTTTTTACGGTAGTGCACTGACTTAAAACTAAGTTGATAAACCAATTTCTGCTGCTTTACTTCCCCGATGAACCCTTCATTTGAACCTTCTCGTGAACTTTAAAAGTACTCCGCTTCCGGTTAGCGGGGTAAGCAAAGAAAATTACAAGAGGAGGCCTCCATTTATAAAGGAAAACGAAATTATTAAACAATACCTATGTCCTTGCACTTGGACCCATCATCCTTTGCTCTTTCCTTTATATCAGCGTCACTTTCCCAGTTGCGGTCTGCTGCGTGAGCATATGAACACGCGGGAGTTGCGTGTGTAACTCGCGTGGTGGTCACGATTCCCGTTGACATTCCAGCCTTCTCAGCAAGCGTGAGAATGGAGACAGCTTTTCTCTGTTCGGTTGATGAAGAGCAGTAAAATCTTGTAATACCGGAGTCCACACCGACAACACCTGACAAAAATTTAGTGAGGGAACAAGGATAACACGAAAATTGTAAGTGCAACATCAAAAATAATACGGTGCAACAACGTGGCTAAACGAAAATTACGCACATTATTTGCTCAGTTGTTACAATGCCAAAGTTGTGTGGCAGTTTTGACGAGGTCTTTTAAGAATTTGAAATTTAATCAGCCAGAGAATGAAGAACACACCTCATCGACCACTAAAAAATGTTGGCTGCCGAGCAAGTAATTAAAAACTTTCAGAGGTATATAGCATAATAAACCTGTCACTCCCAATAGTGGCAAATGTCAGGGGCCCATAATCAGGAGCGAACAACATTTCACGGCGTTTTCACTGATCAGTTTATTTAAAACAATTTTGGCGCGTCTTTTTTTGGGTCCCATAAACCAGTAAGCAAAACCTAAAGATCCGAAAACGGTATTTTTGTCCTTTTATTGACGTGTGATACTTCTAATCGCTAATTTTTTTTCTTTTCTTCTCATTTTGTGGCTTGCTTTCACAATCCAAAATATTTCTACTTACATCGATTTAAAAGAAGGCCTCGAGCAGTTTCTTAGGCCTAGGTCGAACATCCAATTTCTGTCAAATTTGATGATCCTAATACTAATAAACAAAATCTATCGTTCTTAGTCATTAGCATTAGGCTTGTCCCATGTCATTGAAGTTCCGCATCGAGCCTTTATAGGAGCCTTCTTTTTGGCGGCGATACAAGTTTAGTCATCTTTTGGAGGTGGCTAAGGTTAGACTTACCGTTATCAGTTTTTATTCCGGTCAGGAATGCTGTCGCGGAGCTCGCAGAATCTGTTCCCTGTTGATCAACTGTGTACGTTTTAGCGAGAGCTGACCACGGAAACACTTCCCAGCTCAAAATATTCTCCTCTCCCGTGTTTCCCTTCTGTTGTCCGTCCAGGAATCGTGTTGCGGTGATGGTAGTAATACCCATTCCATCACCGAGGAACAAAATAGCGCTCTTGGCGGTGTTGGTGTTTGGTTTTAATTTTACGTTGTCCTGGACCAGCTTTACGCCAGCTTTATACCATTCATTATTGTCTTGATTCCGGAAAACGTCACCTTGGACACCTGGGAGATTAAGTTGATACCTTATTCAGTGCTTAGTTCTCTCTAGCCTGCGCGCGTGCGCGTGGCAGACGTTTAAAGGGGAAGGAAAATAAAAAGAGGAAGTTACGCGTGGGAGTGCATAAAGGGCGCGCAAAAGAGGATGTCACGAAACGCAGACCTCAGACGCCCGAAAAACGTAGGCTGTATATGGCAGACTTCCTTTCAATCCACAGCGATGCGCAGGTAAAAAACCGTGATAAGGTAACTGAGGCTTTGACTTACTACACCGGATACCTTGTTTGCCGACATGAAAAGTTATCCGTTACCGTATGATCGGCAACGGCACAAGAATGAAACAAGTCGTTATGGTACAGGAGCAGTTGGCGGAGATGGTTTGTCGCTTTAAATCCCAGTTTACTTCTGAATGTTTACTTGCGTTTCAGTGGGGTTACAGTCCTCGCTCCCACTAATATCTGTTCACTATGCTACGAAGAGTGGCAGAAACCTGCCCGATATTTGACGATCCACTTTGAAAATAGACGAGGTGAAGCTTCGCTCGGTAACAGAAATCGCCCCGAAATTACCATCGTGTGAACAGTAACCCTATCAGCTATTGTTTTCTTGACGGCACCTGAGCTGTCCGGTATTGTGTGAACATAGCCTCAGAGTTTAGACTTTAATCTCCCCCTCCCTCCTCCTTCAAACCCCTCAACTTCATGCAGGCTAACTCACTAACTCTCAGAAAATCCATCCTTTTTTCAATGGTCAGTGAGGGACTTGAACCTGAGACCACCGGATTGCGACTCCGTGAACGCCCGCTAACCAAACGGCCACACTAGAAAAGGAAAGCCACCTTCCAGATAAAGGAATGGTCTTTCAACGCCTCGTAAAACCGCAGCTAACGGATAAACCATACATTACATTTTTATAGAGTTCAACAAGAACAAACGGTGAGTTATTAGAACAGTCTGAGACCACAGGCAGCCCAAGCGCACTATCTCTGGGTCCGGGCTTCAGAGGTCATTTGGTCGGAATTTTCTAGAATTATTAGTGTATCATCTGATGCCAAATAAATGCAAAAATCTTAAAGATATGAAGTCTTCTTGTTTGTCTATCTGTACTAGTAGCCCTTAAGATAACGAAGGTCGATATTTCTTGCATTATTACATGTGAAACGGGCCCTCATTGTTCGAATTTTATCACATGTATTCGAATATACGACGCTAAGAAAAAAAAAACGATCAAGCGAAATATTGATTCAAAAAGCTCCCTTACCTTTAGTTTATAGCCACTCTCTGTCCTACGGCCGGTTTAATGTAATAATGCAAGAAATATCGACCTTCGTTATCTTAAGGGCTACTATTACAGATAGACAAAAAAGAAGACTTCATATCTTTAAGATTTTTGCATTTATTTGGCTTCAGGTAATACGCTAATAATTCTAGTATATTCCGACCAAATGACCTCTGATATGAAGCCCGAACCCACACATAGTGCGCTTGGGCTGCCTGTGCTGAGACGTCTGCGACGCAGGCAACATTAGAGTCAATCCAGTCGTGAAAATGTGACCCCATTCAGCGGCACATCCCCATTAGCCTCGGGACGAAACAATTTTGGTGCTATTGTAGTCTGCGAGCAAGCTCTTCACGGCGCTCTGACGGCGCGACGGAACGCCAGGGCGACCGGGAGAGCTTGCTCGGCAAAGGCTAATTTTGCACAATCGTCCCGCACCGGCCGGCTATACAAGTTACAAGCGAAGCGCAGTGAGCGATTTCGAAGCGAAATCCTAAAGAGCCGGCCAGGCTGGAGGGCCAGAAGGATGGATCAATAATAATAAAAATGACATGAATTTCTCACAGTTTGCGCCACTAAGAAATGACCAGAGAGATGGGATCAACTTTCTCTAGTGAGTAGACGCCCCCTTATTAATATCGTCACCGGCGAATTGGAATATTTCCGGCGTTTTGCCTGTCTACTCTTGGAGTGGCTACACACAAATTTGACTTACCTGTTAAAGTGTAAAGCAAGACATTCAAGCAAACCCCTAGAGGAAAACCAGCGGCCATCATTCTTACTTCACGTTGTATTATGCGAAAGCACACTTCAAAAATAGGCCTACAGGCTGTAGATTAGTAATAGTTTGGTGTCAATTGGTCACTAATTTGCATAAATATTTAGGAAACACCTATTTTGGGCAAGACTCCCGCTGTGCTCTTTGTCTTTGTAGGTTACGGTATAGTTATCCCTGGGTCCGGTGATAGAGGTTTTTTATTTCTCTCCTTGTTCCGGTTAGTTCCTGAAATTGCCATTTGCACGGTTATTTCATCCCAGGTGTATTTCGAGAACGGACCTCTGGAGTCTTGGTACGGTATTTACTCTGTGGTTCGGTGCAATAATAAAATGTTGAATACTCGTGAAAAGGAAAAACCTTGTTACTTCTTATCCATGGCCTCTCCCAGGAGCTAGAGATTTCAGGTGACTGGGGGAATCGAAGGATTTTGTGGGGTTTGAAATTTTCGATACTTGGATTTTTTGGGGTAGGAAAATTTGGGGTATTGGGCGAAACCGAGTGTCCTTCGCGCGGGACGGACAAAGTATGGTATCATGCACTGGAAAAATAAAAATAGTGCAGACAAATACTTTCTCAGTAGTATTATTCCTGTGAATGACGAAATACAAATCGGGGCACTTGAGGCTGACTGATCCTTGGCCTCCAATTTGATGCGTCAGCAGGTCAACTTCCGGTTGAAGGCCCCAGTTGAATTGTCACTAAATTTCACTGAGACAAATGTAAAAATGAATACTGTTTGGTGGTTTCAAAATGTTTTCAAATATAGTCGAACTATACACATGTTTAAAACGAGAAGCCCGGGCTACGATGAGAAGGCTATGATCAGTAGACCTCCTCCCCCACCCGACACCCGCTCAGTTGTGCATCCAGTGACGTAGCTATATATTCTGAGTCTTTGATGTAATGTGTCTAAATTTAGAAACTGGAAGGTCATGCAATGCTCGCGCTTTGAGATAGCATAAAATTCAGAAAATTCAACGTAAGAGTGAAGATATCAAGAGTTTTGCTTCAAGGAAGATCTTTTAAAGAGCCTCAAGACATCATAATGGTAGTCTACAGCAAAGAGATGCCCCGAGTCTGCCGAAACTGTGAGATGACATTGGAAACAGCTTTCTTTCGATGTGCTGACTGTGGAGATGTTGTTTCGTGTAAAAATTGCGACCCAAGAAGCTCCTATGACGAAGAAGATCCTTCATCAGAGCCTTTAGGTCGTTCTTTTTGTCCAAGAGGTGGTTTTCATCACCGAGGAAGAGGGTTTCACGATAATTCATCGCATCATTTTCGCGGTACCTTCGCTCCTCGAGGGAGACAGTTTTGTCCACGACCTGAGTTACCTCATGATCGACGAAACCTCATGATGAGAGGGCCGTTCCCTCGTCCGAACCGTGGCTTTGGATTTGGTCCACGAGGATATCACGCTTTCCCTCCAAGATGCCCGTTTCCGGAAGAGTTTCCACCTATGATGCGCGGTCGTGGTGGTTTTGGTCCCTTCGCGGGCGCCCCTCGAGGCCGCGCGGAATTCTCTCCAAGATGCCCTTTTATGGAAGGAGCTCGTGGACGCGGAGGATGTAGATCCCGGGGAGGCATGCAACCATTTTGTGGAGCTAGAGGTATGGGCTGTGGGGAGTGCAATCATGTTGTGCTTGAGTTGGTAAGGGTAAACACCAATGGCCCCAGTTTTGAACCATGCCAGAGAGCAAATGGTTCCCAAGAAAAAAACTCCCAGGTTCATGAGGGAGAGCAGTGCTCAGGGGAAGGTGGTGATAAAGAAAATATTCCTGATAACTCCGATGCCATGCCATGAAATATTGATCCTGAGGGGTAAACCAACGTTTGTAGCAGAAAGCAAACAAAAAGAAAAAAAGGAAAACAATAATATCAAGCAAAAAAAAAGGACAATTAACTTATCATAGTGCAAACTAGTTCATGAGTTCATGTTACTTTATGAAATAATTACAGTATCAGTATTTGTTTACATGAGGAAATGTGTAAAATTTGAAAAGATGACCCACTCATTATTTTCACTTCAACTAGAAATACTTTCTTGAAAGCTGAATTAATAAAATACCTGTATTAAAAACTCAGTTGATTACATGTATGAGTCTTCCCATTATGATTGATGTATGTTGCCACATTTCTAGTCTATTTATGCCTTGACCCAGCCATAGGTCAGAAGTTTGATGTTATTAATGTTAGATACTGTTCATGCAATCATGAGACCATATTTATTTTATAAAATTAATGACATTACACATTTCTTTTCTTATGATTATGTTCATTACCCTCTGACACTGGCCTCATTGTGAAGCAGAAAACTAATTATTTTGAATCTTGCTACTGTACCCAGGCTGCAAGCAGAGGTTTCTGGCATTGCCTTTAGCATTGGTAAAGTCGTTCACGTGCATAAATAGCAATACAACACAAATAGCAACACAAATGGCTTTGTAAATACTAAAACCCATATCTGAAAGAAACCTCTGCTGGCAAGATAGAACTACTTTATTTGGCACTTGATGTTGCTAATAATGTGTGATGAGTTAGTGTGTAATAATAATGTTTCGAAATTATTGAATGAGGCTGAGTAGGATATGAAGAATTCTGTAGACTGAGGACTGGGTACTATCGCCCTTTGTGGATAACACCCTCCTAGATTATACATGTGAGTTTAGCCAATCAGAAACGGAGAAATCATTCATTTGTAAAATATTAGGTCTGTCTCTTATTTGTAAGCTTATTATAGAGTTGAGAAAAGTCTTTTGTTTTGTTCTTTCTTTTTTCAACTAATCAACTTTCTGTAAACTTCAAGAAAATCC